CCCAGCACAGGGGCACGGTCCCTGCCCTGCTCCTGCTGGCCACACCATTGCTGATACAAGCCAGGATGCCCTTGGCCACCTGGGCACAGCTTGACCTGGGCTTCTGAGTGTGAACTGTGAGGGCAAGCACACAACTGTGCCCTCCCTGAGGCTGGGGAACAGAGCCTGTGGAATGATTGTGAGGGTTGGTTCGCTCTCTTCTAGAGCAGTATTACTGGAACATGGGATGGAGTAATCGTGAATCCTACAAAACGGCATCAATGGACTCAAAACCTAACCAGAATAAATGAAAACGGTCAACAAATTGGGACCAAACTTGTACATATCTCTTAAGATACTAAATGGCCATATGGGGGATTGCACCTAATTCATGGAAAGCCTGCTCTCATGTTATTCCTCAATGCTTTTTTTTTCCCCAGGATGAAGATAAGGGAGTCACTGCTGGCGAATGGCTGGGCAAATACTACTTCCACTGCGCTCCAAAGCGCGGCCTCTTCGTAAAGCTGCAGTCCTGCCAGCCTGATGTTCGCTTCCAGTGTTTGCGCAACAGTGACCTGAGCCTCATGGGTTACAGTAAGTTCTCCGGGGTTAGGGGAGATGGTACCATGCTGGGACAAGGCACGTTACGGAGAAACCTCATGCACCGTGTCTTAATCAGTGGTATAATATTCTTTGCTTTCTTTGAGTGTTCCAAAAGATGTCAGTTTTAAGGATGCTGAGGTTGCCATGGTGGTATTTCTAGGGAATGCCCCACAAGGGAGGTGGTTAAGTCCCCATCCCTGGAGGTATTTAAAAGAAGGATAGATGAGGTGCTTAGGGACGTGGTTTAGTGGTGGGATGGCAGTGTAGGTTAACGGTTGGACTTGATGATCTTAAAGGTCTTTTCCAACCTAGACGATTCTACGATTCTGTGTTTCTAAGTATGAGAGATGGTAAGTAATTTAATACAGGGATAAGCACCTGGGAATGGAGAAATAAGGGAGAGCTTGGAAAGGAAGAGAGGATTAAATCAGTTTTAACGTAGAGCTTGATGCGACGATAAGACATTCACGAGAAGGCACGGGGAAGAACAGGTCAGTATTCTCATTTGAACAAGAAGGAATTCCTCCAGAGAAGACGGCGTGAACTAGCTGGTTAGAAACTGTAAATGAGATCACTGTAAGTGAGAAGACAGGATCTCTGTAGGGACTGCCCAAAAACTAGGAGTAGGGACGAGGAAGGACAGCTTAAGGACACGTTGAAGAGAGGGGATTGAATTACAAGGGAAGAATGCCGAAGAAACCAAAAAAGACCAGACTGAGAAGGCCACTTTGGAACTTAAGGGATGACTGGCCAGCGGGGTAGGCTATGAAAGCACAGTTGCCAGGTTTGTCCCCTTGCTACTGGGGTCACAGGTCTTTCAACAGGGAGCCCCCAAGCTCGCATGTAACACAGCACCAGCTCATTTGTAGCTCTTTTTGTCTTCGTTATACTTGCCATAACGATGGCAGGGGCCCTATGGATTGCTAGGGCGTGTTTCTGGTGAAGAAGAGGTGGTTTGGTTTTGTCTCCCATTTCCAGCAGATGAATTACTAAAGAGACCAGTCTTCATCCCAGAGTGGTTGAGTCCCAGCAGGAGCAGCGCAGAAGAGCGTGGTACTGACTTCTGAGCAGAGCGGACCTCAGGGAAAGGCAGAGCTGACCCAGACAAGGTGGGAAGCTAAAGGGAGTTGCTTCTGTTACTTCTCTTGCAGGAGGGCAGGAAGTTCTTCCACAGGCTCCAGACAGTTTTCCTCCCCTCCGGAACGAGGCAGCGGTGCATGTCCTGCGAGGGCGGATGAAGGGGATCCAAGGCCACTGTAATTCCTGCTATATGGACGCAGCTCTCTTCAGGTAAGGACCTGCTTGGGTGATGCTGTTTCATTAAATGAGTACTTTTTTAATTGGGCAGAGCCCCAAACAGTAGCGCATCCCTGGACTTCCAAGGTGGCTGGCAATTTACCCGGTACAGAGCAGGATATAACTGTGTGGAGATGCAGCCTCAATGCTTGCTGCTTTTTGATCTCCTTCCTAATCTGGTTGGTTCTCAGACCCCAAAATACTCCTTGTGAGTACCGAAGGTACCTATGTGTCTGTCATGCAGGGCGGTGAGAGATCGTAGGTCTCCGGACTTGGACCGTGCTGCCTCTGTCACTGGAGATAATGGCTGGAAACAGTTCAAAGAAACTGCCTGGGAGGTCCCAGCTTCACTTTGCAGCAGTTTGGATAGGAAAAGACTCAGTGGTGCCCCCCCCCGAGCAGTTTTGGCTGCAAAATACAAGATTTCATTATCTCAGAGCTGTTTCCTTGCTTACTACCAGCATTCATTAAACCAGGTACAGTTTATCTCGCCACAGAGATGCACTGTAACTATGCATGGACTGTTGAAAATAAAAGCCACCAACTGTCATCGGGCACAATATTTTGGTTGTCACTGTTGCTGCAAACCCATCAGGCTTACACAGCCCACTCTTTTCACAGCCTCTTCTCCTGTACGTCCGTGCTGGATTCCATGCTCTTCAAGCCCTTCCCACTGTGTGACAGGAACGTCCAGAGCATTCTGCGGGATGAGATTGTTAATCCCCTGCGAAAGTGAGTACAGTATGTAGGAATCCTGGAAGTCATCCATCTCCTGTCATACCTTCTCTGCTGCCCTGTCAGATGGTACCTGTCACTGAGGGAAAGGGTTACCTCAAGAGTTTCTCCTAGCCACGTCCAACGGTCTTCATACCAGGTTTCTCTTCCAGTTGTTCCCTTCCCCAGGTTACGAGGCTATCATGACTCCTACTGCATGTGCAGGAGTCTTTCCTGCTCTCCTTGTGAGCTCTGATTCTCAGTAAAAGGATGAACGGGGACATTCCTGGGGTTGAGACCACCTCTGTGGAGGAACCATGGAGCTGATGAAGCAAGGGCATTGCTTTCATCAGCAGCTGGTCCCGAAGGCAGTATGCAATGCCAGGCTGGATGAGGGTTGACCATGGCATGAGAGCTAAATTCTCTGGAATTTGTACCAAAGGTAGCAGGTTCTTTCCTCATCCTCCCTAGAAAGGTGTGGAAGAGAGGCATGGAGAGCTGATTGAATATGAGACATTAGCGAGGACTAGTGTCCTGGCACTGGCTGCAGAAATACAACCCTGGGGCATTCTGTGATGCTGAGATTTGATTGAGAGCAGTCCTGCAGAAAAGGACTTGCAGAGGTGATGAAAAGTTGGGCGTGAGCCAGCAATGTGCACTGGCAGCTCAGAAAGCCAACCCTATCCTGGGCTGCGTCCCCAGCAGCGTGGCCAGCAGGGTGAGGGAGGAGACTTTATGATCTTAAAGGTCTTTTCCAACCTAGACAATTCTATGATTCTGCCCCTCTGCTCTGCTGGCCTGAAACCCCCCCTGGAGCCCTGTGTCCAGCTCGGGGGTCCCCAGCCCAGGATAGACAGGGACCTGTTGGAGCAGGGCCAGAGGAGGCCATGGAAATGGTCCAAGGGCTGGGACAGCTCTGATATGGAGAAAGGCTGGGAAAGTTGGGGTGTTTCAGCCTGGAGAAGAGAAGGCTCTGGGGAGACCTGAGTGTGGCCTTTCAATACTTAAAGGGAGCTTTTAAGAAAGATGGGGACAGACTTTTTACCTGAAGAGCCTGTCATGACAGGACAAGGGGTGATGGTTTTAAACTGAAAGAGGGGAGATTCAGACTAGGTCTGAGGAAGAAATTTTTTATGATGAGGATGGTGAAACACTGGCACAGGTTGCACAGAGAAGCTGTGGATGCCCCATCCCTGGGAACTTTCAAGGTCAGGTTGGACGGGGCTCTGAGCAACCTGTTCTAGTGGGACATGTCCCTGCCCGTGGGAGGTTGGACAAGGTGATCTTTAAAAGCCCTTTCCAACCCAAACCATTTAATGATTCTGTGATTTAAATACACCGGTGAGATTGTCTGCAGCTGCTTCTTGTTTCTAGGACTGGCTTCGTCAGGGCTGGGAGCGTGATGCACCTTAGGGAGCAGCTCACTGACAAGGGCCAGTGTTCAAGCTTTACCAACGCTGAGAAAGGTAACGTGCTCTCTGGGGCCTTCCCTGGGCTGCTTCGCTTTGCACCGCCTCATCCAGGCACCAGGCTGACAACTTAATTGTACGCTTCTCCCAGGCACGTGCGTTATATGCCTGCTGTGCTCTTCGTTTACATAAAAACGCACATGGCAGCTTTTAAAACTCCACAGGCTTTTCCACTGAGATTTGCCCTGAAGTCCGATGGGAAGTTAGGGATTGCTGGGCCTCTCCTTGGTGGCATCTGTTGCCAGGAGGGGAGAGGAAGATCTGTGTGCACAGAATTTAAACGAGGGAAATCTCCTTGACTTTGAATTATGCCCTGATAAGTCCATCCCCGATGTCCCTGCTAGAATCCAGCTTGATTTATCATTTTTCCAAGATCAACTTGCCTTTGAGTTCTGGTTAAGTGATTTGAGGTTCCTCAAAGACTGTAGCCTGCTTAAAATAAGACAGAAAACTCCTACAGCTCTAAACCCACCAGTCTCTGGTTGCAATCACTGCGTTCCCATCCACACGCAGCAAGGCCCTGTGTAGTTTACCACAAGGCAACAGATTACACCGATGCCAAACATCGACGCAGCAACCTCAAAGAACCTGGATACTAAACAAGTGGCATTGATTCTTCCAAAACCAGCAGGGATCTTGGTGAACAGCACTAGTGCTTTGTACTATCGTATAGTTATTTTAGCCAGGGATTGTTTAACTGTTCAGTTTCCTGAACTGCCATACCTGTCCCTGATTTCACTTTGAGTTTATACTTTTGGTGTTGGCAGGAACTGCCCCTTAAGGTCTCTGAGACAGCATTGCTGTGTTGGCTCGGCTTCTGAGAGTGCAGTATCTGAGGGCTGCTTTGTTTTTTTTCATGCTCACCCTAGCATTTATGCATTAACCGAGTGCTCTCGGCTTTTAGCCCAATTGTCCCCTTAGAGTAAAAGAGGAAATTCCAGGTCCACCAAATGCTGCCTCGTGTTTATCTGGCAGCTTTTGCCATCAGGACACAGCGGGGCAGGGCAGCGTTCCTGGGGTGGTGTTGACCCCTGCTTTTCTCTGACCTTCCAGATCCTGAAGAGTTCCTCAATCTCATCATGCATCAGATCCTGGGAATAGAGCCACTCTTGAAACTGCAGTAAGTTTCCATATCTAAGTGATACAATTTACCCAGGGCTCATTAGTTATCCACCTCCCCAACCACCGGGCGTTGCTTGCGCCTTTTGATCGAGGCTTCGGAGGCACGGGCTCAGTGAGTCGTCTCTGCTGTCCGTGTGATCTTGTCCCAGGTGATGCATCCAGGAAAAAACACTCCTAAACTCTCCCTGGGGGTGCCACGTTTAGAAAATGGTGATAAAAAATCCTTCTCTCATCCTTAAGGAGAGCCAGCAGTGGTTTAAGAAACGTAGTGTCCAACTTCAGAGCAGAGCCAGCAGTATCTGACAGCCTTTGGATGCGTTTGGGATGTGTCCAGGCTGTCAAGCTGGCTCAGGTCCTGCAGCCTCTCAAACAGGCAGTCCATGGATGCAGTCCCAGTTTTTTCGGGACTCTACAAAGAGGATGAGAGGCTGAAGGAAGCCAAAAATAACTCCGCTGTTCAGGAGCATAGAAGGGGATTGTTCGGTTTCTGTGCTCCTTTGTCAAGACGTCAGTCAAGCCGTAGATCGTGGAGTACTCGGAAAGGCTGAGCACAAAGACGGCTCTGTGCTGCAGCTCCCCTGCAGAGGGTCATCCAAAGGAAATCCTTTCTCTGCTGGCTCGGGGATGTAGGGGTTGTGGGAGATCTGCACACAACTTACATTTGAATGCACCGAGTTTTGCTCGGTGGCTTTTGTCTGTGCAGTTATAAATCTTTTCATCTGAGGAGGAGTTTGCTGGTTGTGCCATAGTGTGGTTGATTTGAAAAATACTGAAATGTCTTTTGATATTGACATTGATGAGGGGAAACAGCGTTTTGCTCCTAGGAGAGGGATGCAATGCTATGGAAGGATAGCGAGACTGAAAATGGTACTTGTATCCTCCCTTCCTGACATGTATTTAATATTTCTGGGTGGAAAAAATGCTTCATGTCAGCATTGCACCAAGCAGCCCTTGGTGCCTTGGGCCCAGAAGCTCTTGCAGGATAAACCCAGTACATCCTCTAGGAGCTCAGATGTTTGTGGCACCACATCAACCAGCCCCGTGACCACTCCTTGCAGGTCAGGAGGCCAGAAGGAGCAGGACTGTTACTGTTACCAGATATTTATGGACAAACA